CTTTGATAAAAATCTATAATATTTCATAATTACAATTTAATTAGGTATAATAATTTATTTTTGGCAATTTTTGGTAGATATGTCTTGGTGCAATTATGCACTGCATGGGTATGTTAGTGCTAGCTCCTGCAGTAGATAAAGCCATAAGTATAGATCAAGAAAGGTGAATTGCGACTAATGTCTTGGGTGTTTGCCCATGACATGCAGTTCATATGACTCTTACCTGATGGAAGGTTCCGCTTCCAAATCTAGAGTACTATTAGGAGATCTCATAAGATTAGATCCAAATTGATTGAGTGATGCCAGCGGGTGTACAGGCATCGCACTTTCCACAATATTCTTTACATGTATAATACATCTGGCTTGTTATACTTTGAATAAATCTAGATAACATGAAGCATTACTAAAACTAGCATTTACCTGAAACCACCTCCACTTATCATCTGTGCACCCAATAGTTATTGGCTCAGGTGTCTTCAGTAAGACACCTTGCAGTCGAAGCATAGCCTTAAGGACATCATTGAAATACTTACTAAATGTTTGACCAGACCTTATAAAATTGAATTTGACATTTCGATTTTTATGGTGGTTCCCAAGCACAGTCAAGAACATAGCAACCTTTTCCTCTAACACAACATATTTTGAATCTGACACACCCCTTGTTCTGATAAGCCCACACAACCGCATAAAGGTATTCCTATTCATTCGTAGTTGTTCATGGCAGTCTATGTCATTTTCTCCGACCAACCTATTTAGGTGGTCAATTTGTTGTTTGAAAGGATTAGGATTTCTACTTATTTTCCTCGTAGCCTCAAACCTTTCCAGTGCAGCATGCAAAATGACAATATAAACTCCACAAGTATAATTCATGGATGATACAATATGTTGCAGGGTAACGTAGGCCTCAATGAGGTCCCTCCTACCATCAAATCCTTTATTATTTGCCATCTATGAAAAGAAATACTGCAATAGTAAATTAAATAACTAAAGCAATCAAATAGAAAACTAAATCAATGCTAACTACTATTCACAGCAGCTTTCATGTAAACAATCAGATTTGATAGAAAATAATCTTATCCACGAGAAGCATTCAATAAGAAGGATTATTAAGCTACAACAAAAAAAAAACTTTTGACATAATTTTCTAGACAATTAGATTATGTAAACTACCTTTCCCAATATATCAATCTTGGGAAAAATCTAATTATAAAAATCTGATTATCAAACAAAAATCAATCTTTAAACTACCTTTCTCAATATATAAAAATCTAATTATGTAAAAAATCAAACTCTTCATAGATTATTTGTTTGTTTGTTTGTTTGTTTGTTTGTTTGTTTGTTTATTTACTTATTTTTTATTTTTTACGTCAAGAGTTTGATTCAATCAAATCCCTAGATTTTTACATACAAAACAAACAAATTTTTATTATCTTGTATAAATGAACACTATCAAACACAGGTCATAGATGTACAAGAATGGAGGAAAAAAATTAAAGCAAACTAGTTAATATATGCAACCTCTCTCAATCCTCTGATTTCAAACAAAAACCAAATTGAACAAACCCTTGTATAAATAACAAAAGGATCTAGAAAGTTTAGATTGAACAAAAATCAGTGGGTTTAGAAAGTTCCAAAAATCATAGACAAGAGGGTTTAGATTGAACAAAAATCAGTGGAAGGGCCACAAATGCTCTAGATAAAAATCATACAAGGAAAACCCAAAACCAAAAAATCAAACAAAAAGAGAGCAAAATAGAGGGAAACGATGATTATCACTAGAAAGAAGCTTTGTCAACGGAAGTCGGCCAGAAAATCAAGTAGATCTACACTTGCATAACCAGAGTTGTTCTTCTCTGTTGGATGTATTGAGCCGCATATGTTTTCTTGAGCCCTTTTTAAATCATATCCCAGCCCAGGGGATATGATATAATGGGGGGATGGTGGTATTGTAGTGTGACGACCCCGCCACGTATAATATTTTATATTTGGTTAATTAAGGAGATTTGGGATTTTAGTTAGTTATTATCCTAATTTAAATTGAGAATTATGAGAATTGTAGAATCTGATTCGTATATAATTCTATTAAAGATTTATTTTAGAATTAGAAATTAAGGGTCCAAATGGCTTAAGGAAGTGAAATTAAGAAGTTGAATCAATTTAATTGTAATTACAGACCCATTTGGGAGTTTAATTAACATTTAGTTCAGTTTAGTAAAATCAAGATTTGATTAATTGGGTTCAAATCGGAGTCAATTAAGTTAATTATGTTATAAGGTTTGAGAAATTAAGATTATTACGAATTAAGTTTATTCATGAGGTGTTCAATTGCATAAAAAATTTATTGACAAGGATTTTGGGTTTGATCAGAAACTGGAGGCCTAAACGATTTGGGAAATCAAAATTGATGATGAAAATAAGTTTAATTTGACATTTGGAGCCTTTTTGGGAATTTGATTAAGGATCTGATTCAGATTAATAAACTAAATTATGATTGATTGGGCCTTAATTGAAGTTAAATTGACTAATCGAGTTATGAGGAATTTGTGATTAGTTATGATTAATTCTAAATGAATGGATTTAGACATGATTAACTAATTAGAAGTCATGGAGCGATTCGTTTAATTAGGGATTTTTATTATGGAATCAATTTAATAGTAGAGCCTTATAAGAGCTTAATTAAAAATTAAAAATCTGATTTGGATTCGTAAAATTAGATACAATCAAAAATTAAAAATTAAAAATCTGATTTGGATTCGTAAAATTAGATACAATCAAATTAAGTCTTAATTGAGAATTAATTACATTAAATTGAAATTAGCCAAATTATTTTTGATCAGAGATTAATCCTAACTGATGAAATTCAAACTTGATTAATTAGTTGATGGAAGAGCAGATTAGTGTTTGGTAAGTTTATCACTTCATGAATAAACCTTATAAAGACAAGTGTCCCACTACCTTGTAATAAAATAAAATAAAATGATAATAAAAGAGAGAACTCATGGTGTATTTTGCTGGAGGAGTTGTGGGAATTGCTTCAAACACTTTGAGACCCAACGAAAGGGAGAGAAAACTGAGTGAGAGTTAGAGAGTTCAATCTACTTGGCTGCTGGAGAAGAAAAAGGGTGCTGGAAATTCAACAAGGAGTTCAAAATTTGAAGGAAGAACAAGGGAAAGAAAGAAAAATTAACCAAATATGCTGGAAATAAAGTTTAAGGTATGAAATCATGCTTGATTTCTTGTAATATTTATATTACCCTTGAAATTAAAGATGAGTTTGGAATCAATATCATGTAATTAGAAGAAATTAATAAATTGATAAAGAAATTGATCTAGGTTTATGGTTATGAAGTTAAATTGAGAATCAATTATGTTGAGTTTGATTTTTTTGTAGTCTTGCATGAATTTGTGTTCCATTTCTACATGCATGAACAAATTTTGTAAGTTTTAATACTCTAATTGTACATGCATCATAGATTTTGAAGAATTTGAACTAATTCCATCTCATATTTTGAAGAGAAAAAGGAAAAGCTTTGAAAATTAGGAATTTGTTTGAATTTGAGTTTGATGTGAAGAAAATTAATAATAATCCAAATTAGAGCTGTTCTAATTAAAATTATTTAGTTTTGGTCTTCATTTCATATATGCAAAGTTTCGTAACTCCAATTTCATGATTTAAAGGAAAATAGAAAAGAATTAAGAATCAATTTCATGTAATCTCAAAGAAATTAGTAAAAGGGTGAAGGAATTGAATTAAATTCAAATTGTGAAAATTAAATTAGAATTTCAATTGTACATGAATTTTTCAAGAGTTTTGAAAGTTTAATTCATGTTTTAAAATTTGTGGGTTTGAAATTGGGTTTGATATGGAGAAAAATAAATAGGAATAACTGAAGGAAAAATTAGAATCAAATGAGAGAAATCGAAAGACAAACAAGTAACTGAATTAAATCGATTGTAGAGTGTAATTGTAATTGTGTTGTGCTTGACTTTATTTGTTTAGGTCAGACACCGAACCATTAGTACGTGTACCGAGGAGCCCACTGTGAGTAACAATGTTGTAAATATATGTTCAATCGTATTTATTTTCAGTTTGATAAATCATATTGTTTTCTGAAATGATACTTTTATCGATTGAATGCTGATCCTATTTTGAATTGTATTCGTAGCATCCATAGCGTATTGTGATTGGTATTGTTATTGACATCGTTATTGTTACAGAGATCTCTGTCAGTTCCAAATCTTGGAACTAGTGTTATTGTTTGATGGCCATCAATTGATTGTTCGGTCTTTTAAGACCTAGTGTATTGTTGCTATTGGATGTACCACGTATGACCTATAAGAATAAGATTGATTGAATCGATTAAATTGAACGATTGATTGACAAAGGATAGTGATTGAAGTGTTCTAATGCTAATCGATTGTTTCAAAGACTGTAAAGGACATCATTCTTAACCTCTTTACACATTTGTTATTCACGAGGCTTTACTTCACAGTTTATTATATATATGTAGGTGGCCAGGCACCGGATCAAAGCTGGAGGCGTCGACCCGAACCCTTGTTTTGTCAAGCCAGCTATTGTCCCTCATTGCGAGGTTTCGAACTAGCATGTGTCAAGGTGTTTTTGGGTGGCTCGACTTCACCCTTTTGAGTTTGTTAAGTGAAAAGAATGTTTTAAGACTAATGTCAATACTGTTCCAGATGATGGGATTGATTCCCTAACTTATGTTTTGTCTTGTCTATATATGCTTATGGGCATAAATGGCTATGTACATGAAAGTTTATCTCCATTTAGGTCCTCACTGCTCATTGGACGATGTATGTTGTTATTGATTGGTTTCCCTCAGCCCCGTTATATTGTATTATTGTCAGTATTGTTAAACAGGCCTTCGGTAATCACGGATTACTGGCCGGTTACGGTGCTAAACCTATAGGGGCGGGTTTAGGTCGTGGCATGTAGGCCTCGTTTGATTGTCCCGATTGAATATAAGGATTTGAGGAGGATATGTAATACCTAAGGATAAAGATGTGATATAATATGTTGTAGGATATGAGATGGATTATATATATTGTAGGGTTACTTATATTATGTTGGTTTAAGATAGGATATAAGATGGGATAAGGTGATAGTAATTATTTTTTACCTTTAAATGAAAAATTCCCTATATACAATACCATGGGGGGGTTGGTATTGTATAATATTCCCTTTTTTGGAGGACATACTATCCGGACTTCCTATATTCAAATCAACTAAACATAGGATATAGGGAGACAATAAAACATATGGGACTCACCTTATATTATATCCGGTCCCCCCTCATATCCGCCCCTTATATACCCCTAACAAACAGGGTCGTATATCCTCCAATTTTAGGGGATATACAATCCCATAGTATATTATATCCTCTTTAAAAAACAATTGCAAACATGGGATATGTGGACCCTACAATATATAATATCCAATCCTACCCTTTATATCCTAGAATCAAACGGTAGCAGGATAGATAGGTAATGAGGAGAGAGTGAGGGTTGTTTTGGAAAAATGGTTAAAAGTTGACTTTTTGATTTTTTTTTTTTTGGTTTTTTTGAAAAACTGTATAAAAAATGTGAGAGATGATGTGATTTAAAATGGGTTAAAACCTGAAAGATAGATTTTAACCATCTTCCTAAAATAGCCTTGAATTTATTAGGGGTTTTAGGGTGATTAGGGTTGCCCTAGTGTAACAACCCCGACCCATGATTAACATTAATCCGTAATTAATTATGTTTGATTAAAAAATTAAGACGAAATTCTGAATTAATCTGCATGTGTGCCTTGCGTTTTAGTGTTTATATCTGTTCAGCATAGGAAGATCTGTTTGAGTTTTGATTTCAAATTGCGAATTGAAAGCCCTATCGGCGACCGATTTAGAAATTGACTTGTATTATGTGTTAATTAGGATTTATGGAATGTTATGGTAGGTTTAATTAAAATTTGATTTGAAAAAATTAAATTAGAATAAATGATATTGAATTACTTTAGCTAGAGTTATTTACACTCTTGCCATTGAGTGGGCTCTCTCAAGTCCATGTCTCTTATGCCTATTGCATGTTTGTCACCATTATGTTCCTTTCCCTTGGTCAAAACGTGGGAGAGAGAGAGAGAGAGAGAGAGAGAGAGTTGGTAGAAACTTTGTTCAACAAGAGAATTTGCTTAAGACTTAGGGAAAATTGAAGGAGAGTTTCATAATTGAGCTACCACACTTGGAATTCAAGATTTACGGTAGGAAAATCACCCTCTTGATTGTGAATTTAAGTTGTTCATTGCATGGTTCATGGAAAAATGAGAGGCTAAGTCCAGAAATAGCCTAGAAGAGTAGATTTGAGAGTTAAACTATCCATGTATGTACATATCTTTGAACCTTGAAGTTGTTTTCATGAAATTCTTACATGTATGGTCATATCATGGTTATACTTTAGAAGCTCATCATGATTTTAAGTCGAATCTTGCATTTGATCAAGCTTTGGAAATTTGGAGTTCATGAGAACTCATGCATGTTATGTTTTTGAATTGTTCATAAAACTTACATTGAAATTGCGTTCAATTGGCATACTTTTGAGCTTTGATTTTATGAAATGACCTTCAAAACATGTTATATTATGAGTTTCTAAGTGTTTTCCGGAAAATTTGGCCCAGAAAAATCAAGTTTGAAGTTTTAAAGGTTGAGTTTTGTGCTTGAAGATCAATCTAGAAATTCCAGAAATTTGATCTACGCTCGAGCGGGGAACTGCACGCTCGAGCGTGCACTCTAAGTACATGCGCTTCCGCTCGAGCGACGAGAGTCACGCTCGAGCGTAAAATGCATATACCCAGAAGTTCTTATGTTTTACATTCTGCTCGAGCTAGAGAATTCACGCTTGAGCGTAGGTCTGAGTCTCACGCTCGAGCGGGGATCGAGCGTCCGTCGAGCGTGAAATTCATGCATCCAGTACTTTTGTCTAGTTTGCAGTCCACTCGAGCGAGGAAATTCCCGCTCGAGCGAGCTTTCATGTCTTGCATGTCCGCTCGAGCGGGGACCCCATTTTCAGCAAAATTTGGGAAATGTTTTTCAAGTGCATTACTGCATCCTCTTTCCATCCTAGGCACTCCTAGGCCATGATTAAAACTCCATAATGAGGTTAATGGCTAAACGTACACTAAGAACAAACATAGTAAGTTATGTATAACTCGAGCGTGTGTTTCAAGTGGGTAATTGTATGTGTATTCGTGTAGGTCACGCACCTCAGGATAAGTGAAGTGCCATTTTGCCATCTAGTTAGGGCGACCAATTGTTTGTGAGTAATAACGCTGTAAAGTTATGTTTAACTTTAATTATTTTCTGATGATAAGAAATGACAAGCTCCCTGAAATGCTATGTTTTGTATGAATGAATGATTGTCCAAATTTTCTTTGAACGTAATTGTGGTATTCTTGGCACAGGCCCTCGCCCGGGGGAAATAATACCGTGGCACAGGCCCTCGCCCGGGGGAAAACATACCGTGGCCTATATATGAGATACGTTACCCGGTACCGGAGGTTCCTTCATGGAACTTGATAAGCATGACCCAAGAGACATGTTTGTGCTAAGGGATGTAGCACACATGATTTTAATATGGACATAATTATGATTTTGTTCTGTTATGAGATTTGAAATATGTTATGGGCATCATTCATTAAAGTTTTTACTCTGTTATTAATCACTGGACTTTAGCTCATTCTTTATATTATGTATGTAGGTGAGCAAGCACGAGATCAGGCCCAGAGTTGATGGCCTACACTTCAGTTTTGTCAGCCAACCATTGTGCCTCCCGAGGAGGTTCCGTTTGAAGTCAAGTTTCATGGCTGTTTTTGGTTATTATGTTAGGCTATGTTGTACTATGTTTTGTTTGGGCAAAGTGTCTGGTAATGTGTACCTGGAAGTGATGTGTAAAGTTTGTTTTACTATTATAAAAAGTTTTAAGTTACCTGCTTCATGTATGTCAGCACATCTCTATGGACTATGTATGTCTTGATTAATTGCTTTCGCGGCCCCTGTTATATGCCATTATGCCAAGAGGCCTTTGGTAATCTAAGGATTACTGGCCGGTTACGATGCTAAACCTGTAGGGACAAGTTTGGGTCGTGACACCTAGGTTTTGTTTGGGTAACAAGAAATTTTTATCTAGAACTGTTTTTACAATTAACATTCACACTGTAACGTAAAAATATAAAATAAAATTAAAAAAAAAGTAAAAATCAATTATTTAGATTGTTCAATAGTAACAAAAATGATTATTCAATCAACAAGCACGGTAACAAAAATAACAAACATACAACTAATCTTTGAAAAACAAAATTTATACCAAAATATAATGTGAATGTTCACGATTTACAATTAACATACAACTAGTCTTAAAAAAAAAAAACCTAAATTTTAAACTCATATAAATGTGAACATTTACACTGCAATGTGAAAACACGAAACAAAATTAAAAAAATAAAAATCGACTATTTCGATTGTTCAATGTTAATAAAAATAATTGTCCAACCAACAAGTATAGTAATAAATAATTTACATCAAATCATCAAATAATATATAAAAAATCATCAAATAGTTCATATATAATGACACATATTTTAAAAAAAAATCTGTACATAATTAATTCCGGTATAATCGGTGAATAAACTATACAATATCGATAACTTCAAAAACCGACGAAAAGACTACAATTTCTGTATAGCAATGGCAAACAAATATTGTTCATCACCGGTTTACCTTTATCCCTATTGCGAGTCCGTCATCATCTATATGATCGCTCTACATGTACAAATAACCTTCTCTTCCAAATGTTCTTCCATGACAAGACCTTATTGTAAAATAATAGTGAAGGAGGAAAGCACTAAAAATAATAATCTTCTATATTTATATACAATATTTTATATATATAATAAATGAAATATATACAATAAATAATTTTCTATCTCCTATATATTTAACAGGTAATAAGTCTCAAAAGTAAAACTTATTAGTAATTTACCTATTTTGGAATCTTTATGATAATAGTATATTAAATGTAATAGAATTCACTACTAATAACTTTTAAACTGGCCCATAAGCTGGCAACTGCTGTAACATGTTTGCTTAGTTAATGATCATGCTTCTATTAGTCCTCAAAAAAAAAAAAATTATTATCATATTAAATTTGGATGATTAATTTTGATTATTATTGGAAATTATTCTACTCCGGACTAGCAGTTTGCAAATGAGGAGAACTTTAGTATGTTTGGGTTTATTTATTAAGATTTTAACGAGTTTGAGTTCAAACTCAATAAAAATTTAATGAACTGAGCTCAAGCTGAGTTGGTTTAAGCTTGACTCGAACTCGAGTTTTAACGAGCTAAAAAAATTATAAATTCACATTTGCATATGAGACTAAAGTTACAATTGAAATTTTGATTATAAAATTATATATATATATATATATATAATATAAACATAGTAAAGAAAAGTTAATATTTTATCAAATGGCCTCGTTTAGAAAGTTAGCTATAGTAACCTATTTTAGTTTTTAGCTATTTTAATAGGTTAAAATTTTTATGTTTGAGAAGATTGTTAGATTTTTTTTGTAATTGGATGTGATATTCATGAGAGAAAAAGTGAAATGACTATGTGTTTGATGTTGCATTTTGGATTGTTTTGGAAAGTTGGTTAAAAGCTGACTTTTTAACTTTTTTTTGAAAAACTTGTAAAAAAGTATAGAGATGATGTGATTCAAAATAGGTTAAAAGCTAGTTTTTGACTTTTAGTCATCTTCCCAAAAGAGGCCTTTATCTTATTGACTATTTTAGTCTATTTTTTTCTTTTTGTGAATTTTAGCCAAAAAAAATAAAATAAAATAATAAATAAATAAAAAATAACAAACCAAGTTTGAACGAGTCCTTACCGAGATGAATTTGAGTCTGTTCACGAACGATTCTGTTCATTTGCAATTCTAA